CCGGCCGGCCCTGAGGCCCGCAGGGAGAGCAGGGGGCCGGGGCAGCAGTGCTGCTGCAGCCGGGAGACTGCTGGTTTTCCCGAGGTGGGGAGCAAACGTTTGCCTGGCAAGGCCAAGGGCTGCGTGGGTGCCAGCCTCGTGCACGGGAGGGTGCGTGGGTGCAATCCGAGGTGCTTCTCAGGCACCCGGGGTTGTTACCCTGGGTGCCTGATGGAGCTGGGCTTCTTGGGAGCCTCTGAGCCGTGGCAGGGACATGTCTGGCCCTAGCTCTGCCCATTGCAGTTTGGGGGCTGATGGGGATTGACTTGTGCTGGGGCTGCAGTGACCACCGTGCTGGCAGGGTTCAATGGTTTCATTCGTTCCCCTGCTCAGGATCGCCCCTGCATTGCTGAGACAGGCATCTTACGGCACCATAAAGATCGGCATTTACCAGAGCTTGAAGCGGCTGTTTGTAGATCGCATGGAAGGTCAGTGTCAGTAAACGTGTCGGTACAGGCCCCTCTCCTCTCACCAGAGCTGCGGTGTGAAGCCTCGTGCTCTCTGTGCTGTGTGGTTTTGCACATGCCTTTCTCTGTCCTTCCCAGCTATAGATTCCCACAGCAATGGAGTTCTTGCTACTTCGTCCTGTGGTTTTTTTGTACAGTAATGGCAAGGATAGCTTTCAATACAGACGTGAATCTCACTGTGCTTGGCACTGCCTGCAGACCCTAGCCAAACACCTCCCCCTCCAGCCAGGTCTGTCCTTTCCCCAGCTGTTATCTCTGTTTTGTGATGTCAGAGCCAAAAAAAAAAAAAAAAAAAAAAGGGATGTCGCTGACCCAGGCTCAGCTCTCCTTTCTGATTAGTCCGAGGGAAGATGTCATGTCCCATCTGTACATCAGATGTGGTACATGGCTTGAAAGCTTCAGAAGCTTCAGTAGCCAGTCTCTCCTGTCTTCCTGCTGGAGCCTTTGAGTCCTCGTGCCTGAATGTGGCACATCTGGATAGAAATTGTACTGTCCAGCTCCTTGGCTTTGGCTCCAGCCACAGGGATGGGATACTGCCAGTGCGCCGAGCTGTGTGCCTCTGGCAGTGAGGACAGGGCCTCTGCAGCTCCTACCTGGAGGGTGCAGCAGCGGAAGTCTGGTACGTGTTCACTGAAGGAGCACCGAGATCCACGCGCGTGGTTTTAAACCCTGGTGTGACACGAGTGAATGTTGTAACGCTGTTCCGAACTGGGAAAGCGAGGTGGGCTGGCCATGCTGGTCCACAGGCCAGCGAGAGGACTGGGAAGTACAGCTTCCAGGGGCTTTCGTGTTCTCCAGTAACACTTCTCCCTGTGCCTGCTTCTGCACGTGTATGCTGGCCCATGCGTCTCCCCTCGCTGGCTGTTGCAGCGTTTCCAGTTGTGAGTACCCTTGTCTGAATGTTTGTCTCCCTACAGGCCTGGGGCAGCCAGTGGCCTGGTCTCCTCTGGGAAGTGCTGTGGTCAGTACCAGCAAAGGGCTGTGCCTTTTCCCAACATAACCACCACCCTAATACTGGGCCTGGAAGTCTTGGATTATTCCACCCACCCCTGGAACTAATCGCATCTAACTTTCTCTGCCTGGGTCGCCTATTCTCTCTTTTCTCAAGGTGGCTGCATATTCTGAGTGCGGCCAGCTGGGGCTTCAGATCAAACCAAATTGGTATCAGGTTGCCTTGAGAAGTGTTGGGTTGTCCCTCTCTGTCTTCCTCTGTCTTGGCTTGTCTCCATCATGAGAAATGCATCACTGGATACTGAAATCTCAGATAATTGTTCAAAATTTTCCTGTATCACAGTCTTTTTCTGGTCTGATCAGCTAGACTCTTCAGTAAGAAGTCCGAGAGCGTGTTGCTGAGTGTTTCAGCTGCTGCTTTCTGTCCCTGGCAGGTGTGGGGACAGATCTGCCATGAGCTGATGGTAGCTGGCCAGCCTCTGCTCGTGCAGCTTCACCGTGTGATTTGCGAACTGAGCTTCTCTGCCTTTCCCAGAGCTTCTTGCTTGTTCAGTACAATCTGTGTATCTTCTCTTTGGATCTTTAGGATCTGACTTTCTTTTCTTGATTGCAGATGAAACGTTGCTAATCAATGTAATCTGCGGAGTGGTTTCAGGAGTGATCTCCTCTGCAATTGCCAATCCGACAGATGTGCTGAAGGTAAGAACTGTAGCTGGCCAGAGACAGCTCCTGGCTGGCTGTGATTTGGCATGTAGAAGCTGCTGCTTTCCGGTGAAGATGCATCTCTCCCAGCTGCGGTGAGGTCCTCTCTGAGCCACTGCTGGTATCAGTTCTGCTAATTTGGGTGTTTTATGAATAGGAGCAGAAGCCCAGAGTGATAAACAGATTTTTGAACGTGCAGCTCTTAAAGGTCGTGAAATCTGTTATGGCAAGGGGTAGGGGCTGTGCTATCTTAATGGGGTGAGGGGGGTGGTAGCCAGCTGGGCATCAGACCTTCTCAGCTCCTTTCCCTTCAGTCACTGTACTGTGCTTTGCTGCTGCAAAGTCCTACCTGTTACCTGGAGTGACCAGATCCCAGCAGGGACTGCCTGGTCCCCTCCGTTCCCTGCTGCGGGGTTACTGGGATCAAGGTAGCTCTGCTTTGAGCAAAGAGAGCCTGGAGAACTTTCCCATGCTTCTCCCTGTGTAGATCAATTTTCTTGGACAACTTTCAGAGTGGGAAGGCCTCACCTGTCACTCCTCTGTCTTGTCTGAGTTTCGCACTGTGCTTCCACCCTGTTTCTGTCCCTGTTCCTTGCCTGCCATCATCGTTTGCTGCATGGTTTGCAGGGAGAGGGCACGGGGATGGTGATGTCCGCTCTGAGTTGCTCGTTCGTTCTGCCAGGAGGTCCGCTGAGCTGGCATCTCTGCCCTCCTGGGCAGGCGCGGACGTCGTCCTGCTGACTCTCGCGTTTCTTTCAGATTCGAATGCAAGCTCAAGGCAGCTTATTCCAGGGTGGCATGATTGGCAGTTTCATCGACATCTACCAGCAGGAGGGTACCCGGGGCCTCTGGAGGGTGAGCACCGGCTCCTGGAACCTCCCCACTGGTAGCAGAACTAACAGCTTCCTCAGCTTGTTTGTTACACCTGGGTGCAGCTCTTGAAGAGAACTGTGAATCAAGGGTAGTCGCAAAGTTCTGCTTCTGGTTACCGGACAAACAGAAGCACCTCTGTGCTGGAGATTTGGTCTATGCTATGGCAGTGTCAGCGCTGGGCCAGGCAGACCTGGTTTCCAGGACTGAAGCTGGTGTGCGTAAAGTTTCACATACGTGAGTGTCCCTTGAATGGACCAGCGCTGGGGGCTGGATCCTCTCCATGGTCTGCCTTGGGAAGGATGCTCAGCCTGGTGTATCTTGGAGTCAGTGGGAGGTGACCCTGCACGCAGTAAGCAGGGAAATTTGCCTCCCTCTGAATATGGGTGGCTGAGCACCTCCTCACATGGAGGAAGAGGAATTCTTTCAAGTAATCTGAGGGACACTAATGACATTCAGAAACTTTCTGAAGTTCCAGAAGGACAATCTTGCCCTGTGCACCCACCTACTCAGTCTTAGAATCCTTGAAACTTGTCCTCTGAGTGTGCAAAGAGTAGGACAGAGTGGTGGCTTTTGGGGAAGCTGGTGATGTAAGGCTCTCGGGCTTCATGACAGATGAGAGTTACCTGTGCTCAAGCTTTACAGTTTGGATTTTAGCTTTTGTTGGTGAACCTCACTTTGCACTTCCCTTACAAGTCTTCCATATGGTCAGTTATCCAGCAGTCTGTGGAGTTGCGAGGTCAGGTGGGGAACTACAGAATCCCAGTGCTTTTTTCCAGGCAACAGTCCGATTTCTCCCTCTTATGGTCACAGAAATCTTTTACAGAAAGATAGCTGTTGCAGTATCCTGTGTGGGAAGAGGAAGAGGAGTCAATCAGCTGCCAGTGTTGACACAGTATTCACTTTGAGATTATTTCTGCTCTCTAGACAAAGAAACACAAGAGAGGGAAGAGAGACTAGAAAAGAAATTAAACCCTCTGTGTGCTGCAGACGGGACACAGTGCAGAGACAGGTCAGTCTCGAGGTGGATTCCAATGATCAAGCTAGTCTCACTGCTTTCTGGACTGGGACAACCACTGTCTCTTCCCTCCAGCCTTCCCTCACATTGAGGCAAAGATGTTTGTGCTTACCAGTTCTGACGTTCATCTCAGGGGGTATGTTTGAGCTGGCTGTCCCAGGTTTGTAACGCAGGAATTGTAAAGGCAGGAACCCAGGAGGACACTGTCAGGCACTGCATTAGCACAGTGGGATGGAGACAGCAGGAGCCATAAACCTGAAAAGTACTTTTACTTACAGTTGCCTTGGTTTTGTGTGGTAAGCAAGCTGGTTGTCCTGATGGGCTGGCTCATAATTTGGCCACACTGAAGGGTCACTCCCAGTCCCAGTGACCAGGGAACTCTCTCATGATACCATGGGTCTCCCTGAACTACTTGGATGGTGTTACAATTTCTGCGAAATGGCCCAACTCCACATGGCTGCCATGTTCTCCTTGTTCTCCAAGCCAATACAAATTTGCACCTATTTTTATCAGGTTCCTGATAAGGGATTTGCTGGGATGGTTCTCAGACGGAAGGTAGCTGGTTCCTCTTACCTACACTTATAGTTGTTCCAGTAATTGTCTTGCCAGTTCCCAGATCAATGTCCTGAGATGTTGTCCAACTCTTCTAATACATGAAAACCTCCTAAATCAAAAACCTTTGCAAAGCGTCCTCTCTGCTGTTGTGTAGCAAGGAGGACTTGGAGCCCCACCTGCTCCTTAAGCAGCTGCTCTTGTGATGCAGGATCTTTTCTGGTATTGAAATTGGTGGGTACTGTTCAGTGGGGAAGATGAGTGGATTATAGCCTGATTCCCGTGTGCTGGGAGGAGAGAAGCAGTGTGTAGTTAATCTAGCTGCGGTAACACCACCAGGGTGGGGGAATACTCCTTAGCTTTGGAGTAAAGTTGGAAGATGGTGAGATGGTCTGCCTGAAGGGCTACAGCTGCAAGATAGGGCAAGGATGATACCCGGCAGATTGTCAGCAAAGGAAGCTGGGGAGAGATGTTATACTAGCGGCAGTCCCCAGGCAGCAGTTTGCACTTGTGACTGATGTTTGTGCTCTGCAGGGTGTTGTCCCAACAGCTCAGAGAGCCGCCATCGTGGTCGGGGTGGAACTGCCAGTCTACGACATCACCAAGAAGCACTTAATTCTGTCAGGCCTGATGGGTGACACCATCTTTGCCCACTTTGTGTGAGTATTTGCTGCAGTTGCTGCACTCTCCAGGCTTGGCAGGGGTGTGTGAAGCAGAGGAGCAAGGTGGGATTTGGGGTGAGAGCTGTTTATAGAACAAGTGCACTGGAGCTGCAGGGAACAGGCTTGGTACTTCTGAGGGGTCTGCTATATCGACTGTAGCAGCTCCGAATGACCAGTGAGTATACCTGGAGAGACCTCCCTGGAGAAGGAGTCTGGCAGAAATCCTTTGGTGATGTGAAATGTCGGCTTGATTTCAGCTTGCTGGTGACCAGAAATGCTGTTGCTCTGTGTCTGTGCCCTAGTATGGACGAGGCAGCAGTTCTGGGTGCGCAGCTACCCGTAGCAATCAGTTGAAGGAGCTGCTCCAGTCCTAGGTCCTCATCTGTGCAGACACTGTCAGCTTTCAGCTGTTGCTGTAAGAGCTTTGTGAGATGAACAGAGACTCGCAAAGCTGACCAGACCCTGAGCAATCTGACGAAGTTTTGAAGTCAGCCTGCTCTGAGCTAGGTTAGAGAGGGTTAGAGACCTCCCGAAGTCTTTTTTCATCTACATTTTCCTATTCTTCTGGCAGACACTTTAGCTGGAGGTGCTGCAGTGCTTCTGTTGGGTTTGCCTGCTGTGGGCTGAAGGTGACAAGCACTAGACCATATGTGGAGGGAGGAGACAAGCAGCTGCATGTTCCCTCTTGCTGCCTTTGTTCTTCCTCCCTCCTTCCCCGCCCTGAAGAAACGTTTGCTCTGGTGTGAAGGATGTGCGCTTCCAAGAGGCTGCCTTCAGGTCTGTGTCATGTTGACAGCACCCAGAGACACTTGCTGGACTACAGGATGCGCCTGTGGAGACCCAGCAGTGGGCTTTGACGAGGGCCTTGATTAGACAAAGCTGAGTGTTTCCCTTCCCCTAGCTCTCTGGGGTCCTGAGGTGGTAGGGTTCCTGCCTCTGCCTGTCTGCTGGGTGCAGCTAATGCTAATTGCTAAATGCCTGTCGTAATATCCAGTGAAAGATACTCTCTTGTGCGTATGTCAAGGCCTATCTAAGCCAGAATGGCCGTGTTCAAAGGTGTTCCTCTCTCCTGTTTTGGGGTGTATATAGTTCCAGTTTTACCTGTGGGCTGGCTGGGGCCATTGCCTCCAACCCTGTGGACGTGGTGCGGACGCGGATGATGAACCAGCGGGCAATAGTGGGCAGCACGGAGCTCTATAAGGGCACTCTGGATGGCCTTGTGAAGGTAAGGAGGTCAGAGGTGGGCAAATCCCTGTCTTTAGGAAGCTGGCCAGATTCCAGCACCACATGCCACTGATATGAGCGGTTAGATTTGACAGCAACAGAAAGTGCTTGTCAGTGTTTCAGACAAACCAGAGAAGGGCCTAGAGTCACTTCCTGAGGTCACCATCAGCTTGAGCATCCTCACAACTTTATGGGACAGAACTTTGTCAGTGGTGCAGTGTAATTAGGTTCATATATAAATGACACTTCACACAACTGCGTCTCCGCTGGCCTGTCTGCTTACTGCAGCAGCTGTAAAGGCTTATATCACATGTGGCACTGGGGAGATGGGCAGAGCATGGACCTGGCGTGTCTCATAATTGGTCTGTCTCTTCTCTCCTCCCAGACTTGGAAGAGCGAGGGCTTCTTTGCACTCTATAAAGGTTTCTGGCCCAACTGGCTTCGGCTCGGTCCCTGGAACATCATTGTATCCTTCAGTGTGCTGCTGGGAGGTCATGGGTGTGGACAGGCAGGGGAAAACCAAGCTGTAAAGTGCAGAGCAGGCACCTCTTTGTCTTCCCTGTGGCGGCCCAAAGCGGACTCCCTGTCCTTCTTGGACATAGGCTGTGATGTGGCTGCTGCTGGTTCAAGTGCCAGAAATGCCACTGGCTGTGAGTGCTGCTTCCAGCAGCTCTATAGGTGGCCAGTGCAGGGACTTGCAGTGCAGCAGCACGGGTGGTTTCCTGTAGAGTGAGTGCTCTCAAGTGCTTGGCTTGAGACTTTCCCTTTGGCCTGAGCTCCTGGAGATGCTGCACTTTCTGGATCGGCTCCTGTTTTGTGACGGAAGCCTGGAGAATGTTCTGCTGCTCCGGGACAGGTACTGGCTCTGCAGAACCAGTGCTGCTGTGTTGCTGTACTAGATCCTTCTCGCCCTCTGAAATTGGGTGTGCATAATTTATCTTAAAGCAGTCCCAGTCGGGGGTTAGAGCCACCTCCCTTTCTCAATGGTCTAGGCCAGCCTGGGTCAGTTTGCGTCTGGGTCAGTCTCTTCGCTCTCCTGGTAGCTCTTGTCCCACAGCTCGCACTTCTATCTGTGCAGATGAGTTTATGCTGCCTGGAAGAGGGGCTTCCCCACGCTGGTCTTCAGCTGTACTCTGCTGATGCTCTACCTGCCTTGCCTTGCCAGGCAGGCCCTCTGCAGCTGCGTTATGTATTTGGCCCAATTCCTTGATGTTCCCTTCAGTTTTTTATCACATACGAGCAGTTGAAGCGACTTCCATTCTGACAGCTGGCTTCGTTCCGTGAGAGTCATCTTCAAGACTTGCAGCAGACAGCTTTGCTGCAGCCTTCCTCTTCATTCACCATCCCCATGTTTCGATGTCTTGGTACATGTGGGTCTGGGCTCTCCCCCTCCCCCAAATGCATGGTCCCTGGAGCACGATCTGGCTGAAGTATAACTGGGAGGCTGATGGCAGGTGCTGCATGTTTTTTCACACGGAGGCAAGTATTAATGGTGTACAAGTGTCTGGGCCTGAAGCGATATCTTCTGTGAAGATCTGTGCATTCCAGTGGCCTTTTGGTGCAGCTGTGGTTTGTTGTTTGGCTCGTGTGCATTTTTCTGCCGTGCCTGTGGGGTGAGACTGGGGGCTGGGAAGGGGTGCTGTCATGTTTTCTTGCAGAACTGTAACCTCATTAAATTATTTATTGACTGGATGGCTTGAGTTTGTGTTTGTGCAGATTTACTGCAGGTATATGCCAGAGCAGATGGTGTGTCTGCCCTTGGAGAGAACAGAAGCTGTTTTTTCAGCACACTATACATATCTTTTTTCCCCATATATGTGTGTGTATATATATATATATAAAAAAAAGCAAACTTTAGGATTCATTATAATAGAAATGTTTGTAAAACACAGTTTAATTGTTAGTGTCAGAAAAATAGGATCTTGCACTCAGCTCAGTTTTGCAAAACCTCAGTCTTTTCACCTTACTGCTTATATTATTTTTGCTTCTATCACTTTTAAAGCCAGCTAATGTGATTTTAAAGCTGAACTCGGATGTCCCACTGCTTTAAAATAGTGGCTCTAATATTGCCAGTGTTAAGCAGAATATCAAGCAAGACATTTTGGTCATCCTCTTCTGGTTTTCTTTTAAAATGTGTATGGCTATGAAAGCAAACAGCTCTTGTGTTCTTACTCCCTTTCCTCTTTATGGGGTGGCTTTAGTTTGGGTGAAGGTCCCTTGGGACACACAGCAGCGCTGCCAGTCTGGGAGTGCTGTCAGCTGAGGTTCCCTCTGTGCAAATTGCACAAGGGACGTTCAGCCAAATCCAGCCCAGGCAGTCGAGAAAATTGTTTGCTGTGGTTTTGCAAAGGCATAGCTGCCTTGTACCAGCTGCATGCATAAGGAAGGTGAAGCTTTTGGACTTAAATCATGCCTTGAACAGAGGTATTGCTACAGGGCCTACAGTAGGCTGGGAGGATCATTTTCAGAGTTAAACTACACTTACAAGCTATCAGAACCAGGGAGTGGTGGATTGAAAGTGGACAAGGTTCATATGCCTCACCTAGCTTTACTCTTCAAAAGGATTTCTAAATACTACAACATAAATAAATACTTACATTGTGGATGAATACGAGTCTATCCGAGCAGCATTTTAATGGCAGTTCACTGCGTTCTTTTGATTTTCTTCAGTGTTTCTGTAACTTTAGTTCTGGAGCCATTTCTTCCGTGCAGCTCCATGGGATGTTGCTACTGCTGGTTAATTTTTGGGCTGATCCTCTGACAGTTCTTTGGTATTTGCAGTTGCTACCCTGCCTGTGTTCTTCAGGCTGCTGTGAGGAGCTCCTCAGCAATGACGGAAGCGTGTCCTCACGGCCACTTTGCTGTTTGCGTTTCTCTGCTGTAAGGTGCTGGTGAGAAGCTGCTCT